TGCATTTTGGAAAGTATGATGCAATGCCTTATCTTTGTAGCGTCGTATCTTCGTTTCTTTTCACCCAAAAGCGACGGTTCGCCCACCATTTTGTTTATAAAATCCTGCTCTATTTTTGTACTAAATATCATATGCCAGAAGTACATATTTTTCCTTAAATGTGGGAATTTGCACAAACATTCGGTCGGGCGGAAATCTCTTTCGGGCGTCTTTTGGCTGTATGTTTTGATATGTGTATCCTAGGAAACCAGATGCCCCGGAAATCGATTTTACCAGTAAAAATCATTCAGACGATGTATTTTAGTTGATTTTCAGCCAAACATGTGGCTGTTCTTCGCAATTTTTAACGATGCGGTCGCATGTAAGTTTGGGATTATGTTCAATCCGGACGGGGATAGTTATGATAGCAAAAACAAATACATCAGATGAAATATGATACTTTAAGCTTTCAAATGAAACCTGAGTATTAATAGGGTAAATACTTGCTAAGATAACCTTGTGTAAACAGAACGTCCAGAAAATGGTAGAGACCTCGAGTACGTAAAAGAGAAAACAACACCAGCAACTGTTCCTGAAATCACTCACTTTAGTCTTGCAAATAACATATATTTAACATAAAATAATGTAAAGCAAAATGTTGTCCATAAATTGGGTATAGGTATTTAACTGTAACAAGACGCCTGTTCTGGCATTAACTTTGGCGTGCTGCGCATGTGCCAGTCTTCAATATAAAGCTTCTGAACATATACTTTAAAAAGTATAGAAGTTCAATTGTTCAAAAATGTAAATAAACCACATGACAGATTCATTTTGTCAACTTTGCCTTTGGAATTTGCGCTTATATAGTTATATTAAATCTTCAGTCCTGTGCAAACTGCAACGTGCCAACATGCCCATCAGGACTACATTTTTTGCCAAACATGCTAGCACAGTTAGCTGTCTGTATTTCTCAAGGTTCCTCTTAAGTTTATCATTGTTTAACTTTTCCACGCAGTGTTTCAATGCAATATCAGCCAATGTGGATGTAATCTTTGGGCTTGTAGACTCCTCATCACCAGAGAATTCTTTTGCCAGCTCATTGAGAAGATCGAATTTGGCAGTTTCGGTGCAGTGTCATTTTCTCACCCTTTCATCTCTTTGGTCTTCTTACTTTGATCTTCTTACTTTGAGATTTGCTTGTAAGAGCATGCAAATCTGTCTTTACCTCGGCACTGTCCCTAGCATATATACTGATGCTGTCATCAGTTTCTTCACAATGTAGTTGTTTGCCCCTTGACTGTTTCATTGAGTTTTCAGAGGCCGAACTATAGTCGGCATCACTGACAATTGATATTCTCTTTCTGCCCGTGGGGCGTTTGTCTTGTTAAAGCTCATCAGTTACATCGGTTTGGCTATATATTTGTTCCAAATGCCAATTTTCAGTCAATTTTCCCATCTTGTCATTAAGACTAGCCAACACCTGTATAGGTAGTTCAGAGCCTATACTTCACTCTGTTGATGGGGTTTTGGTGCTCATTAAAGCTATGGCCTCTTGCAAGCCTGCTATGCAACCGTTGAATGGTTTTCCTTATCCATATTCATGTTTATTAGCTAAATCGAGAACATTTAAAAAAAATACCTACAGATCCTCCTTGCTTACATCAGTATAGATTCTAGAGTATTTACCTGGATGCATCCTAAAATGGGTGGATTTTGAAGAGATTTACTCCCTATGTTGATTTCTTACCAGCGACATGCTAAGCACTGGCCAGCACAGCGCATGCACATCTCATGTGACTCTGTAGTGACGTAGACTGATGACAGGATAGAATCAAGAATATTCTTCATCACTGCAACATTTTTTCTATATATAAGGAAATAAAACCTCAGAAATATAAAAATCTTGCCAAATTTATTAAATTTGGTCAAATTTTACCTCAAAATCAAAAATATTCTCTATAGTGTAGTACAATATTCTATATTGTAGTGTAGTGCAGTGTAGTGTAGTGTAGTGTAGTGTAGTGTATTGTAGTGTAGTGTAGTGTGGCATAATATAAAATAACTTTTTTGACATGACCTAACTTGTTTCTACGGTGACCCATAAGTGTCACGGCAAAAGCAAGTTTAATTAAACAAAAGCAAGCTCAATTTGGCAACAACAAATTCATCTTGAATAAAAGAGAATTGCACACTCAAAACGAATTAGCTTACGGCAAATACAATTGGTCACAGCAAAATAAAATTGCTCGCGGCAAAATAAAAATCAACAACTGGTCAGCGATTGACAAATTATTTGATGAATAACATTACAGATTGATGGTGTGAACACCCCAATATATCTCGAAATGATCCTATTCGCACCATTTTCACTTTCAAGCATGCCATTTTGGTTGGTTTTAGGAGTAATAAATATTTGTAGTCTGACATGTTCTGCCCTAATTGCGGCAACCAAACAGTGGAGGGTGTAAACTTTTGCACTCATTGTGGAAAAGGTATGTTATGTGTCTTATATATTTTGTTTTTTATACGATTTCAGTTGGAGCCTGCCTGGAAGTATAATGTTATGTATTACAAATTAATCCAGCTTTGAGAACTTGCTGTTGAAATGTGGTCAGCTTTTCTATGGTGCAGGCAGTGGCCTACATAGAAAAGAGATTTGGGGGTCATACGTTCGGGGACCTACTTGTGTAGTGCATGTTTGTACTTGATAGGAAAAGGCATATATTTAAAAGCATAACATAGAGGGATTCATCATTTATTCTTGTATAACCGTGGTGAACGATGGTGTTGGTGTTTGCAATTACCTTCAGAATAGAATCTAACAAATCTGTCACATGCTGTTAGATGTATTTCAGAGTTTAGTTCCTGGAGTGATACATTAGGGTTAACCATCGAATCATATACACTTGCATCAAGACAGAGAGGTGCAGGTTTCCACATGCCTTAAAGTTACCATTTTGGACATGAAGTGTTGAATCTATAGGTGAATCACCAGGAAACATACTTGAACCCATCTTGGCAATGTGGAAAACCCTTTTCCCATTGCACCTGTGTCTATCTCTTTCTCCCCAATGAATTTAACTCTGACCACATACCTTGCTGAAGCAGTTTTTTTTCTTTATTTCTCTGTTCCATATTGAAAGTACTCTTTTAGTAGTTAGTTCTGCATTTCGCCTTAAAACAATAAACAACTGTTTGTCAGAATAATCCACTTTTTTTGCTAACATTTTGACAATGCCAACTGTGGGGTATAGATATTCACTTAAAGGACATTGGCAACGAAAATTTTTATTCGCTATTTGTAAAGTGTTCAACCGTCTAATTATAGATATGGTGTTAATTTGTTCCAAAAATGTTTCGTTTATGAGTTATTTTTACCACAATTCAGCCAAAATTTGGACCTCGTCCGCCATATTGGATCAATTTTTGAAAAAATTATATTTGGCGGAAGTGACGTCATTTGATGGGTTCCCTAAACACATCAATATATTTTACTAGCATGTTTACTGTGTTTATCGAGATTTTTTGCTCTAAAAAGGGAGTTGTAGTTTTTTAATGATTGTCATGGAACATATTAACGAAAACCATGCACTTAGAGAAAGTGTTGCCCTACCAATATGAGCCAGAGGCGCAGGGAAAATCTTGTGATATATATCTAACGATAGCGATGCCGAAAACGGTAGTGATCCATCTTCCTCTGACGAAGATTTCGATCGCGAGTTCGAAAGAGCGAATGCCGGGCGCCTTGAAAAACTTACTTGGTGTAAATGTGGACATTGCGCATTATTAACAAGGGCTGTAGAATGTTATTGCTGCTATGAAAAAGCACTAGAGTACGACGAATACGAACATTTCGCAAACTCGCGCTTCGTCGTATGGTCACTCAAATAGTATTTTGTCGTGTCGTATGACATGTTCATTTGATTTCTCTCACATGATACGGCAATTCCTCCAAAAGGAACAAATAAACCGTGCGTTTGATGCTGTTCAATTAAGTTTAGATTTAATTGGGGAAAGAATATATTTAATACAAGTAGATTCTGGTCCTATTTTAATATTATCGCTGCTATTTCGCCGTTTAACAAGATATGATCATTTATGGTTGCGTTGACACGTCGCAGTTAATTTGCACAGGATTGAAGATTTAATATATAAAGCACGAATTCCAAAGTGTAAGACAAAGTGAACGTATCATGCCGTTTATTTACATTTTTGAACAATTGAACTTCTATACTTTTTAAAGTACAATGGCTTCTGAATTTCGCGATCGAACAACATTTAGGTTTGCAAGGCATCTAAATGAATATCAGAATATGAACTGTATAAAATGCACCGCATATAATGTCAATTGCACGGCATATAAAGAGAAATGCACCGCGTATAATGTCAATTGCACGGCATATAAAGAGAAATGCACCGCGTATAATGTCAAAAGGACAGCATGTAAAGAAAAATACACCGCATATAATGTCAAAAGGACAGCATATAGAGACAAAAGCACCGCATATGATGAATATATACCACGTAAGACAGCTATGGCATTCCATAGTATTGTTTATGTTCAGAGCCTTTATATTGAAGACTAGCATGTGCGCGACACGCCGGAGTTAACGCCAGAAAAGGCGTCTTGTTTATGCTAAAATATAGTAAAATTGTAAGCAGGGGAAAATATGCGCGCCTTAGCCTTAGTATAAATCTAAATATAAGTAGAATTCTAAACTTTGGGAGATTGGTTATTAGTTGTGTTGTGTTGTCACCGTAACGTCAGCGATGTTTTGCAAATTTTGGAAGTGGGGGAACGCCGAACGCGTATTTCAAATTTCAATGGGCGTTGCCTATATATGGGCGTGGCCTATATACGGGCGTGGTCAACTGCCTGTAATAAGTTAATAGCCAATTTAGGCATTGCCAAAATACATATAATACAAATTATACAATATCATGTTATACAAAGAGTAAATTCAAACTAATTATCTTGTTAAGACTATGTTCTATATCAGTGATATTTATGTCTAAAATGTCTAAAGTAATTGCCAAAGTCGTTGTTTTGCGACTGTCTGCTCCTGCTGACTTTCAGCATCTTCCTCTAACTTTCTCTTTCTTACTCTTTCATCATTGGCCGAATGATGTTTTCGCAGCCAGGACTTAGTATATTTTTCTGGATTCCAAGCATTAATCGGAGGACCAACAAGTTTAATAAACATTAAATTCGATATTCGTTCAACAAGTAGGCGATTTCTTACTGACGTACAAACCAAGTTCATTTGACTAAACCCACGTTCGCATTCTGCCGATGAGACCGGGATACAGGAGCAACATCTCAATAGAGGTTGGAGATCGTCAGGTACTCGTCTCCCTTGACTATCAACATAGTCTTGGAACGCAGGCACTGTTGAACTTCTTGAAAGGGAAAACCGATCGCACAATGATCGTACCTCTTCCTCACCATAATTTAGATCAAGATCCTGTGGCCAATAAGTCGGGTAGAGAACGCAAATCTGATCAAGAAGCTTCTGATAGGCAGCACTTTCGCGAACAGTTCCAGAGGCACATGTGGCAAAGAGACGATCTTTCATTGCATCTAGCAATTTGTCTATTAGTGCATTAGCATCAATATTGACATGTCTACCATTGGAAACTAGCGGTACAGTGCCAAATTTTCCTTCCTTGACCGCATCCTTGGCTATCATCAACTTTGTTCCAGTCTTGCGCTTCAATGTTTCGATGCTTCTCATGGACCGCTTGATACATCTGTCGGCTTTGACAATGTTCATTGAACGGTGTTGCATGGCCTCGGAGAGCTCAGAAAGCTCAAAAAGAACATCACACATGAGTGCCAAGTCCAACAAGAATTCCTCCGACTGGATTCGCTTGTTTAACCCCTCGTACATTGTTGAATTCTTTCCTTTTTCAGCTGCTTTGTCTTTGAAGTGTTTGCAGAGTGCTTCGTAGTTGTTCCAAACTGCCAAAACCGTCCTGTGACTACTCGCAACCCATCTCGTACTCAGTACCTTACCGATCTTTAGAAGCTGGACATCTAGACTTTTAGCAACTTCTCGTAGTTCACGCACATTTTTGGGCGATTGGCTGTAAATTGAATACAGTCTTTCAACAAAAATCTTAAAATGGTTTATTCCCGTCAATTCTGAAATCGCATCGTCAACCGCAAGTTCTAGGCGATGATTCAAACAGTGCCAGGTGATGAGATTTGGAAAATCATTCATAAGTAGCTCCATGACTCCCGACTTCTTTCCAGTCAAGACACTAGCTCCGTCTGTTGTAAATGCAACAAAATGTTCTTGCAAGTAATCCATGTCAAACCCATGCCGTTTTAAACAAGCAAGTAGTGCTGTATGAACCTCTTTTGCACTTTGACCATTTGTCAACTCCACCAAGTCCAGAAACAAGAATTGTGCTTCTTCTGACCTTTCGAGTTGAGCTTTTAAGTAAATTATCAGTGTTGAAATACCAGACACAGTAGTAGACTCGTCGATCAGAATAGACACTTTCCCTTTGTTTTCTTTGATGGTCTTGCAAATTGTGGAACGCATCTCATATGCAATATGGTCAATTATAACAGTTGCAGAAGATCTTGAATGCAGCCCAGTCCCCATATCGAGCCCATTATGAATTTGCAAGTCAAATAACCCTTCGATATCGTTTAACGGTCGATCATTCTTTGCTATATAATAGCTCGTGCGAAAAACTCTTTTTGTTGTATCTAACCATTCAGTATTCATGACGTCTATATGCGCAGGCATGATGTTCTTCTTCTGCTGATTCACCATCTCTTCTGCTCGTTTATGTGCATCGCTGTTTAAATGTTTGTAAATTTTTTTACGGAGTGAAGTTAACCTAGCTTCTTGCGAATTCCCGTAATATGTCACGCTTGTTGCTTGCCATTCTGTACTCAGGTAACGGCCTTGTGTTCTGTGCGGACCAAGATCTTTTGCGGAAATACAGAAACTGCACCCAAGTTTTCCATTCTTACACTGTAGCCATGGGTAGAGTTGTTGTTTTTCGTGCCACATTTTATCCGTCCAGATCGTTGGCTTGTCAATCACATCAGCCGCTGTCGATGGACCTGCAGCTTCGTCAATTTTGTTGGTTTCGACATGTTCGCTATGTTCACCTGCATTTTCCGGTTAGGGTTCTTGTTCTGGTACTTTCTCGTTTTCTGCAACTAAAACTTCAGCTGACTTTTTAAAAAATCCAGTGATTGTAGGTTGTTTGGACATTTCCTTACCAACTTATAAAACCTAATATTCTATTTCTTAAGTGTTTTTAGCACAAGGACGATAATATCTTTTGATATTATTTTATTCCTTAGAAATCCGTTGATACTTGATACCGTTCTACAGAGATGTCACCCTTGAGAGTGTTTAGTGAGACTATATTATTACTAAATTTACAAGCCCTTTTATACTTTAGCTAGTAAAGGCGAGGCAGTAAGATTAGCGTAAAATATTTGAGAAGTATTACGCACTGGGCGAGTTTATTTCCTAACAGAATTATACCGTGTTCGTCAGTTTCAGGCATTTCCTTGCGCGCCTACCGGAAACCACATAATGTGTGCAAAACATTAGCGTGACTGCGTGACTAGGCACTTCATGTTCTTCGAAGGTTCTAGATACTAACAAATTTGAATAAGCGGAATCACTTCAAGGCTTGGCTACCAAGCACGGATCTATATATATTTTTTACCATATGTTGAGAAATTACAATAATCGATCATGCATTAATGTTCTATACTTTTATAATGAGTTCTATACTTTTATAAATCTTGTTTTGGGGGAACGCCGTTCCCCAGCGTTCCCCCTGCAAAACATCGCTGCGTAACGTCCTGTTGTGTATCGACGTGCACTGCATGTGTAAATATGTGTGTACATAGTTCATATTCAATGTTCTCTTCCAAATATTTTTAAAAACATGTCCCCGCAATGTTGATGCATTAATTTTGCATAGGTATTTGATTCTGTCCCCCCTCTATACTCTATTTTACCAAGTTTTTCAAGTTGCCATATGAGAATACAACAATAGTTTATATAATCATATTTCCCGAACCCATCAAATGACGTCACAAATGTATGCTAGCATAAATTAGCATAAGGCTCGATTTTCAAAATGGCGGACCACCGAGGAACATTTTTGGAAATTTTCACAAGAACCAAATACGATAGACACACAAAAACATTAAATTAAGTATTTCCTAGATGATTTCAACAGATTTGGCAAATAAAAATTTTTGTTGCCAATGTCCTTTAAGTGTTCAGCCATAGAAGCAGAAAAAACCACAGGTTCTTCTGTGTCGTACAAATCTAGCAGGTTGTCAGTATTATCTTGTGAGTCAGGCTTCACAGGTTTATCTGTATTATCTTGTGAGTCAAGCTTTATAGGTTTATCAGTAGTATCTTGTGAGCAAGGGCCGCGGAACCATTTAGAAAGTGAGGGGCACTGACAAAAAAGGGCACTTTCTCATATAGAACTATATCACATAATATTAGAGCTGCTCCCGATTAATCGATTATTTTTCCCCAATCGATTATGCTTAACAGTATTCAGATAATCGGATCATCTATAACACCACACAGCATAATGAGGGAATGAGTTAATTTCTTTCCTGATTAAAAAAATTGCGACAAGATTGTGATGAAATGACAAACATTAAGGCAAATATCAATCGCAGCGTGAGAGAAAGGTTTCCTGTTTTTTTTTCCGCACGTTTGTAAGCATCGTTGTAAGGTAATAAAGAATAAAGTTATATTTTAATTTGCTAATGTTATGTTCAATCAAGTTTTGAAATAAAACTGTATTCTTTATTCAGTAATGCCACAGGTATAATACTTGCTTACAAATGTGCAAAAAATCGGGAAGCCTTTCAAGTGTGTGCCATGAGCAAAACATATTTGTTATTGTTGGCTAACTTAACCGCCCAAACGTCAGTTTCATTGCTCAAACATGACACTTGGCATGGTGTAACAAACGTTTTGAAACGTGAATAAGGTTTTAAAATCCGAATGCTGCAAGGTTGGACGCAAATTTTAATCAGGTTAGAGACTTAGAGTGGCATTCACCTTGCGCTTTGTTGCACAGTTTTCTGTATTTTCGTCATGTCTAAAAGCCGAAGTGACGTCTGGGATAATTTTGTTGCAGAGAATGAAACATCAGCAAAATGCAAACACTGCAATGCAACAATTCGCCGACATGGCAATACAACAAATCTTCGAGAACACCTTATTAGATTCCACTCGAATGTTTACCAACCAACCGCATCAACTAGCGCTGGCAGTTCATCGATAATGAGCTTTTTTTAAAAGAAGATTGACCCATCAGGAGACAAAGCAAAAGAGATCACTGCGCATATTGCCAACATCTGTGTTAAAGATTTGCGTCCATTTAGTACTGTTAAAATGCTGGGTTCCATGCTCTCATTTAGCATGCATGGCCAACCTATCAAATTCCAAAACGAGAAACGATCCGCCAACTGATCATGCTTCGACACACTGCGGGCATAAAAGCTTTAAAGAGCGAACTGGAAAGATTGAAATCAGTTGTCTCTATTACAACTGACGGCTGGACTAGCCGAGTGCATTAGTGGAGTTTGTGTCAAAGACCCTGAAAGCCATGCCATCACCTGCAAGCAGCAACATTGCTGCTGCCACTTCATTGGAACTGGAGATCTTGCCATCGCCAAAGAAAAAGTCCAAGTCAGAGATAGCCATGGAAGAGTTGCTTGGTAAAGGAAAATCGAGCTCTGGGGAATCCACCTGCAAAGTAGAATCTCACACGGAAAAGAACCAAAGGATTAATAAGGAGATTCAGCAGCTCAGCAACGAGGCACCAATTGGTTTGACGGAAGATATGTTAATGTGGTGGAAAGAAAACGAGAAACAATACCCTCTTGTACGAAACCTTGCCGCCAGAGTGTTAGCAGCTCCGCCAACGTCTGTGCCAAGCGAGCAGATTTTCAGCAAGGCTGGGCTTATCGTCTCAAAGAAACGTGCCGCGCTTAAGCCAGCCATTGTAGACACACTTTTATTTTTAAGCAAAAATAACATGTAGGCTCTGAGTGACAGTCACATTTTTAATTAACTGTATTAGAATTTAGACTGTTTACATACACTGTATTTGTTACGTTCTTTAGTCTTTAATTTTTTGTTTTCTTGAAAAATTACTGTAGATTGATCAATTTGACAGTTTTGTTGAACAGATAGATAATAAAGGACTATGATTACGAATACATCTTAGTTAATTAAACCTGTCATAATTCATAAACAATTAAACATCCTTAATATATAATCCTCTCTGTCTTTTCATGCATGTCTCTTGTGTGAAGTGTAAGAGCGCGAGAAAGTGCGCAATCTATAATTGTGATTAACATTCATTTTAAACGCAGATTTCAAATGTTACGCTGACTGGCGCAACCCCCAAAAATTTAGCAAAAACGTTAATTACAAACCACCATTGGTATGTCATATTTAAATTAATTATCAATACGATTAGTCAATATTAATCTATTGTTGACAACGACTAATCGATTACAAAAATTAACCGATGGGAGCAGCTTTATCACATGTACCCCCATACATCTGTGAAGACAGTGAAACTCACTGGCAATCACTGAAGTAGTTTTTATTTTGTTTACGCATATCAAAATTTTCCAAAAAATCTAATGCAACGTTTGTTTTTTTGAACGAATTGTTTTGCAATGACTTGCAAGTTCAGTTTATCTGTTCTATCCTTGTTGACATGCAGCACCATCAGATTACTGTAATGTGCGTTGGTCATTGTGCTTCTTAAATATGTCTTAACACAATGCTGTCCTGAAAATGATCGTTCTCCTGAGGCAGCACTCATTGGGGCAAGTAGGTAGATCTGTAATATTTGGACGAGATTAGGTAACGCAAGGTTGATCTGTGACTGTGTTGGCTTTTCTTCAGTGCAAAATAGTGAAGTGATAGTGTCAATCGATGTGACCTTTTTTACTTCTGGAAGGCGTTGATTTATTACTCCTTTTAAAAAGTTTAGCTCAATTTCAAGCTGTTTAAAATCGCAGTCGTCTTTGTACAGGTGCCTAACCACGTTGTCTAGGTCAAATTCTAGTCATTTAGGTTGTTTTTCAGGGATTCAATACACGTAACGGTTGTTTGCGCAGTTACTGAAGGATTTTGCAAAGTAATTGCAACTTGCTCATACACTGAAGATATTGTGGGCAAAGCTGTATCACGTACTGATGCCTTGGTTGTTTCTTTAGCAATGCTGAAAATTGTGGAGTACAGCGCCTCATAATTATTTATGATAGCTGAGATGGCTTTAGTTCTAACTGTCCATCGGATAACAGCAATAGAGGATTCTCAAAATGGTGTTGTCGTCTTCCAAGCTTGAGCAATGTGTTGGTATTGAGCCATTTGTGCTGGAGAGGACCGAATAAAGACTGCTAATTCTTGCACCAAATTCAAAGTGTCACTTAAGCACCCTGCCATGTTGGCCGCACCATCATATGTCTGCCATCGACAATCTTCAAGTTGCATCGCAACCAAACACCTTTAAGGGAAAATGTTATCATTTCCTTGACAGGCTAGGCACCTTAATGTACTGAGCTGTTGCATCAGCATTCTTCTTCGAGTTCCTTGGCCCTTCTTTAACGCACTGACCAAAGCTGCTGCAATATCACTTTTTGGGTCATCAAAACACAAGACTTTTTTACTGGCTTCCTGGTGAAACTTTGACTCTGAATGTTTTTTTAATTTTCGTGGCATTTCTTCCAGTTGCTGAATTCGCCTGTTGAAAAAGCATCTTCTCCAATTATTACAAAATGTGATGAGTGTTTGTTTGCCTTTTTGCAGAAAAAAACAGGCGATTGTACCTTTCATCATGCAGTATGTAACCCATGTGTACTTGGCGAAAATAGAAGATGGACATGTACACACTTTTCCTTCTCTACTAGTATTTTGCTTTAATGATGTACATTTTATGATGTCATCAGTGCGATGGAAAGCCTTTTCATTCACCTTTTAACAACAGGAATCGAGACAGGGCTGGCAGTGTTCCAATTTCAGCTGATGATTCATTTGCCATACTTGTACAAGAATCCGAAAAGTTGGAATGAGTAGATGCTTGCTTGTCAGGAATTGCAAAAGTGAGCAGTGCTACAGACATTGCAGATAATAGTGCTGGCATATTAGGTGTAACACAAGAACCATCATTACCATCTGTATGTGGCATAGCCACCGTCGTTACAGTCGAGCTTGGTTCAGTATTGACATCTGCTTCGTTTTCGAGCTCAACAACTGTATCAGCTGGAACGTTGTTTACAATTTTAAAAAAGCTAGTAAGCTTTGGTATTTTTGCTGCACTTTCAATTAATAAATTTCGTCTCTCAGTACTAGGCATCGTAAATTTGTCATTACCTACTAGCACAGCTGAGCTAGCAGGTTTTTACTACAAATTCAACTATTTGTTAGCTACGTTGTGTTTTGGAATCAAATCTATAATTTTCAATTAAACAATTAATTATGCGAATAGTCGGACTTCTACGAAGACAGCTAAATACAAATAATTATATTTGATTTTGATCCTAGTGCCCAACGAAGACCAGTTTTCGTAGGTTATACCTTACGTAATTATTAATTACAACTGCAATGCAACATTTTGCTACATACAAATATCTACTGAGTCTGAGATCATGTACTCCTGTTTCATATTTTTTGTTAACAATAACGCACATTTAATGACTCAAAGAAGGGCATGTTCACTTGAAAAAAGGGGCACATTTTGGTGTTTTCAAAAAAGTGGGGGGCACCATGCCCCAGTCCCCCCCCCAGTTCCGCGGCCTTTGCTTGTGAGTCAGGCTTTACATCTGCTGTTGCTGCAGCTGTAAGGTCAATACTGACTGTACTATTGCATCAAGGATATTTATCAGGGTTATCAGGCTCTTCAATCTGGTCTGAAATGTTTGAAAGGGAACTAGTGGAAGGATTATGACTTATGACTAGCAGGATGGTTCCTTGTCTGAACCTGGTATGAACACAGCTTGCTGCCCATCTTCATACAGTAGGTAGTATGTTCGACTCTCAGCATATAAATCACTGAAAGTTTTTCCACTTTTGCTCAGCTTCTTTACACAACATAACATATGTAGTATTTGTTGGAACCCTTTGCTTCTTCTCACACCATTCCATGAGGCCAACATAAATGACAACATTTTCTATCTTGTTTTTCTTCTTATCACTTGACCTTGATACTCTTTCTTTCGATTCTTTCCCTTTGCTTAGTTTATAATTGGCAAAAGACTTCACTGTTGAACTTGTAAATGGGCATTCCTCATATTTTGGTGTTGAAGAAGCTGAAAAATATAACAGTATATTGATGCAGAGACAATACTCTTGCATGTTTGGCAAATAAAACATGCTGCTTATATGCAGCAGCAACTACAAGAATAAATGGAATACATTGGTTGGCTGGTACTGAGTTAAATCTAGGAATTGAATTTACATACCACTATTTGTATACTGTAAACACAAGTGGTTTTTTTATTTTTTTTATAGAATTACTCCCCAATATCAATTCTGAATATATTGCTAAGGGAAAAACGTATTGGAATGCCACCCATGGACATGTAATTATAAAATTATCTTTATAGCTTGTCAGTATAGTTGGATTCAACCATGCTGCCAATAGAATACTCCATGGAAAATTTGTTACTGGGACCTCTTATGGCAGTGATTGTGTTTATTCCTACTCATCAATAAAAATTTCATCTTCGTGGTGAATTTCTGTAGTACACATGCCTATTAAATTCTATTAAAAGGCTATAAAAGCATGTGCAGTACTGCAGTAACTGTTCATTTGGAATATGTATGTTTTAAGCCCACCGACACAAATCATAATGCAAACCAGTGGCGTAGCTACAATCCTGGCCAAAACCATTGACTACACTCAAAATGATTTGTAGTTTTTTATGCAAAACATCAACATTTCTGTCTCAATTTCCCCCCTCGCCCCCCTAATCAATGTTGAGTCCATGCTGAATACTTGAATGAGTTCTGACACATCACCCAACATTGATTTGTGCGGGAATGGGGGAGAATTTTGAAATATATTCCGTGACTACTGAATGTAGTGGCAATTAACACTGAGTGTCGTCAATGTTTTGACCAGGATTGTAGCATCAATAATTGTATATTCATGTTGACAGACTGCAAAGACAATAGATTTGAAAAGAAATTGATAATGCAGAACATGAATATATTCTGCCCCCGTAATTATCGATGCTGCTACACCACTGATGCAAACGTAGGAAAATATAACATACCTTTTACCAGAATATGATCGCAAACTCCTAAAACCAACCAAAATATCGCGCTCAAAAGTGAAAATGGCACAAATAGGATCATTTCGGGATATATTGGGGTGTTCACACCATCAATCTGTAATGTTATTCCAACATGAAGTAATTTGTCAACCGCTGACCAAACCGCTTACCAGTTGTTGATTTTTATCAGCCATTCATCAAGATAGAATTGTTCCATACTACATGTAATATTCTGGTTCTAATTTCTTTAGGAACCAGTTATCTGATATTGTCAAGGCAGCATACATTTACATACTGGATCAAACAAATTTATACTTGTTATTTGTTATTGAAGTGCTTGTTAAGCTATTCTTGAGGGAACGAAAGGCTGTTTCTTGCTCATTGGGCCAGTACCAAGTGGCAGTTGCTTCTGTTAAGTATCGTAAGGGCCGAGAGATGGTTGCATATCCTTTGATGAAACACGAGCAGTAGTTTGTCATTCCTAGAAAACTTTTAATCTCTGCAATGTTGGTGGAATGTTGATAGCTTTAACTTTGCTGGGGACTGGAGAGACTCCATCTGTACCAAATACAAGCCAAAAAATGTTTCTTGATTGAAGGGGCATTTGTTTTTGTTAATAGTCAGGCTTTTTTCATGTAGACAATTGAATACAGCTTCTAAGGTTTTCCTAGTTCGAGAATATCCTTTAGGGATTTATCAGGTTTGCAAAGTGCTTGTTTGCGTAGAAATTATTAGCTGCAGTGTTGAATAACTAGAGATAAAATTATTTGAGATAAACATCTGTAAACTCACAGTTTTTGGCTAATTATCTAAGCTCTGTGACAAAATCGTAGAGTGATTGGTTAGCTTTTTGTTTGCAGCTTCTAAAATTGAATATTTCCATTTGGATGTTTTGTTTAGGTTTGAAATAGGTTGCAAGTACCTTATTAGTTTCATTGTAAGTGGCAGCGCTGTTTCCTTTCTCAGCTTTGTAAATATTGTCAACTGCCTTGCTGACCTAGTGGAGTAGAAGGCCATGTTTACAATTGTCATCTCTTAGATTCATGCCAACAAATCGATTTTCCAGTTAATTTATGTATTTTTCCCATCTTGAGCGAGCATTGCCAACATTTGTCAACATCGTAGTTGAATGTCAAAAATTTAGGCAAGGAGTTCATATTTTGAACTTTGCTGTTGAGTCACCTGCGTGTAATGTACAAATCCAAAGGCTTTAATGGGACAGTGCTAAACAGCAAAACACTTCACAAAACAGTCCAAATTTTAGCAAAAATCCCTCAAATATCTTTAAAAATGTAGTTGCAAGTTTTAACGATTCAAATTTGCAGAAAATGGCCTGTAGCTGCGCCCGATTCAGCATCAGCGCGTTCTGAACAATGTAAATCCTGCCGCTTAGCTGATTGTCATTTTGGAATATGAAATCAATTAACTGTTGTATGTTCAGCTTTGCTCAACCAATAATATCCTGATAACTGCTTATTGTCGTAAATAAACCTCCCATGATTTCAATACGACATTTCACTTGTATATTTTTTGTTTTTCACATTCACAAATCACAATTCTACGATAACACAACACATTGTTTTTGTTCGTCCGAAAAACTAACCACGTTACCCCCCATGGACTGTGACACATGCATACGTCACATCCGTGTAGCACAGCTGATCTCTAACAATAACTCAACTAACGAAATCTCCAACACCCTCCCCCAATATAAATTCGGAGAAGATATATTTGTTCTGTTCCTGGAGATTTTAGGATTATAGTTTGTTGTTGTTTTTTTGTCTTAAAGAAATGTGTTCCAACTGTTTTGTTCGACCTTTGGTCATAAACTAGTACACATTGTCCGCATCTTCGGATTTCAGTAGCTCTTGAATTCGTCGACCCGCATCCACCGCGGCCTGTCGCTTTGGACGAAAGATCTCTGCTTCTGGATTAAGTTCGGTTGGATTATGTTTTCTTTTCCGATCACACGACAGTTCCAACGAGAACAAATGTTGAACCGCCCTTTCCAGTTGTCCTTTACCTGCACGAACTTTTGCAACCCTTACAATACCATCCTTTCCCGCGATGAGCTCCTCGATTATACCCAACGGCCATTTCCCACGATTCCTTTCGTCTGTGTTGAGGATTACCACATCACCCACTGCTGGCACGTCTCCCTTCGAGCCGATTAAATTTCGATGCCTTTCTCTTAAACTTCGGAGATATTCCTGGCTCCAGCGCTTCCACAAGGCTTCTTTACACTTGCGTAAATGCTTCGCACGTTTCCGTAAATCTTGATTCTCAATTCGATGAGGTTGAAGCACAGGTACAATGCTGCTGTTGAGATAAAGCATGCTACTTGGTGTTAAAACAGGGAGTTGTACGTCATCTTCCACATATCCGAGGGGCCTATTGTTTAACGCCACTTCCACGTCTAATAGCACTTCCTCAAGCTCGTTCCATGCTAGAAAACCGTTGCCGATTGTTTTATTCAATGCTCCTTTAACCAAACCGATCATCCGTTCAAACTGCCCGCCCCACCACGGGGCGCAGCTCAAGTTGAATTGCCAGGTTATCTGGTTGATGGATAAAAAATTTTGTATTCGCTCATCCTCCCACACAGCTTTCATCCACTTCGCGGCGCCAATGAACGTTCCGCCATTATCTGAATATATTCGTTCAGGACGCCCTCTTCGTGCAATAAATCGCTTGAGACTCAAAATAAACTCTGTTAGCTCTAAACTCGGCAAAAGGTCCATGTAGATGCCCCTTGTCAAACTGCATGCATACAGTAAAACATATGATTTCCCATCTCGTCCATTTCTCTTGCGATATTGTATGGGACCAGCATAGTCAACCCCAATCACTTGATATGGATTAGTACCCTGCGTACGAGTAGTGGGTAGAACTGCGGTCCTTGGTGTTGCATATGCTGATAACCTGAATCTCTTGCAACCGTAGCACTGGTTACGAACCTTCCTAACGAGTCGTCTTAGCCTCGGTATCCAGTATCTTCTGCGCACTTCGGTCATTGTCATACCAATACCACCATGCATTCTCTGTGCAAGTATATGACTGTCCGAAATGAATGCGGGATACTCCCCTTGAACGCGACCATGACATTCTAGAACACCGATCTTATTGGATTTGAGGTTTGCGCAGCCCGGTCTTCCTCACTAGTTGAACTTTCTTGTGCATGTTTGATGAACAATACTCTCTGACGTTCCATCTCGGTCGCGGTCAAAGGTCCCGCGATGCTAGCGGTCTCTCGACTTCGTAATGGGTTATTCATGAAACGTTGGATCCATGAGCATATTCGGATTGCCTTCTGTAAATTAAATTTTGCAAGCACATCGTCTATTTCGTTATTTTGTATCACAGCGACATTTACAAAGTCTTTCACAGGTTTTGTTTCAGCTCCGCTTTCAACTGATGGCTTAGCAGTGATATTTGTTGGCCAGGATCCCGGATCTTGTAGCCATGTAGGTCCGTTCATCCACAGGTCTTGCTTACTATGCTGATTTCCACGACTACCCATGTCCGCTGGGTTGTCATTGGTCGGGACATACCGCCACATAACATCATCATGATCTCGGATCTTTCTTACACGGTTTTCAACGAACTGTTTGTATGTTTCAGTTCCTTGTAACCAATACAGGACCACTGTGCTGTCTGACCAACATGTTGTTTCATTCAGTGGAAATCCCTTCATAGCTTCTTTCACATTTTCCACCAGGTTAACCGCCATGTGCGCAGCTAGCAACTCTAGCCTGGGGATCGTCGTTTGAGGCTTTGCTAATCGAGATCTTGCTGCAACCAAACCCTGATTGATGCCAGATGGTTGTCTCACAACAGCATACACACATGCCGCAAGTCCGCTGCCACTGGCATCCCCGAACGAGTGGAGATCTATACTGTCGATTCGCTCATGGTGGGTGGCCAAGGATCTTGGAAACTCCAGATTCTCTGGAAGCGCATTCTCCCAATCGGTCCATTGTCTATGGAGTGCGTATGGAATCGGTTCATCACAGGGTTTCTTCAGATCACATGCAGCTCGATAAAGTAATTTCCCTGCGAGTGTTGCTGGAGATGCAATGCCAAGAGGATCATAAATCTTGGCCAGTTTTGTCAACACCCCTCGCTTGGTCGCTACTGTTTCTTCTTGTGGAAACACAACAGATAAAGTATCTGAGTCTTTGTTCCATTTTAATCCGAGAACAGACGCTCCCCCCAACGGTTTATGCCATTGTTGCTTAGCATAGGTAGTTTCCACCGCTGGGTCTTGTTCCGATTCAAGCTCTCCGGCATTGGAGTGCCACTTGTGTAGTAGGAACCCTGCTTCTTCGAAAATTTCAGATGCTTTCACTTTGAGCTCTGATGCTTTGCCAACAGTTTTAGATCCGGAAATAAGATCGTCCACATACAACTCACGTTTAAGGTTAGCAACCGTTTCTGCATCTCTATCTTCCCAAGTGGATAAGTGGGCTTCAATGACTCCCCCAAGCAGGAACGGGGATGCCGTTGGACCAAAAAGAGCCCTAGTGAATCTCAAAGTCACTACCTCTGCTTGGTTACCGTCTTGCCAATGGAAACGTAATGCGTCCCGGTCGCTAGCTTTGATTCGGACTTGTAAGAACGCCTTTTGAAGATCACCACATAGTGCAACCGGATAAAACCGGCCTCTTACCAGAACGTTCCAAAGTTTATTTTGAAGCGGGGGTCCAGTGTGTAAACACTCGTTTAATGATGGGGCACCTTCGTGCGCTCGAGCTGAAGCGTCATATACCACGCGAACTTTGGTTGACTCAGCCCTCGGACGTACAACAGGCTTATGTGGTATATAAAACTCCGTTCCAACTGCTGGTTGATCTGCTGGCTCAACAACACCTGTTTTACGTTGTTCGTCGATTATCTCTTCATACTGGGTTGTTAGATGTTGACTCTTCAGTTTCCGAACCAAACTCTGTAGCCGACGTACGCTACCATTTTTGTTGTTAGGTAAAGGAGGGTGGTTAGCCCTCCATGGCAGCCCTGTCTCGTACCATCTCTCGGAACTTCGTGTGAGCTGTTCTTTGAATTCATCATATACCCCGCTTTGGTCGTTTTGTCTTCAGTTTGGCATACTCACTGGGTCCCAAAATTATATGCACCGGTAATCGTTCCTTAGAGTCAGTGTCTTCCATCACAACTCCCTCGAGATGAGGGTTACTTTCGATAAGTTGCTGGTATTTTGGATTGTCAAGTGAAACAAGTTCCCCGTTTTCAACTTTTGTCACTTCGACTGCCATCGAAAAACTGTCCGGAGTTTGCCTTTACATTGATTGTTTGTAGCCCCATCTCTCGCGTAGTAGTCCCCAACATCATTTCAACTTTCCTTGTTTCCCGTTTGCTTTCACGTTTTGGTAACCTATCTAGAAGTGCTGCAGACGCGTATGAGCTGCCGGCACCCGTATCAAGTAGAGCCCGACACTTTATACCCTCAACATCAACAAGCACTACAGGATATACTATGGTACTGTTACTGTTATGTTGTGCTGTTAATAATTGCTCTGCTGGGGGCTGTTCGCCACAAATCGAGGTATGATGCTTTCTACTGCATTTCTTACATCTAGATTTACTTCTACAACCCGCTGCCTGATGTTGCGTACCTGTACAGTTAAAACACCGTCCTTTTCGGGCCAAGACTTTCTTCCTATTATCCACTGAGACCACTTTCGTGCAGTCCACGCTCTTGTGCGTGGCGTCCTCGCAGTACACGCACACACGCGGAGATGTCTCATGTTCCGAATCTCGCGAGTGGAAAAAGGGTGATTGCTTATATGGTGATCTGGTAGATTTCTCGACAATATTCTGATTACTCTCCTCGATTGGATGAATATCGTGCCAATTCTTGAGTTGCTCGAGTAGATCGGTGAAACTCCAATCTTGCCACCCTTCGCTTCTGCGAACTAAATCAGATTTCATTCCTTTCAGCTTATCTAGAGTTGATCGAACATTACCTTTCACGTCTGCGAGTTTACCCATCGTTTCGAGACTTTGCACGTTGAATCTCAGCTGCTTAAAATAAAAATCGTTTATTTTCTTTGGGTTCGCTCCACTGATCACAGGTAAGCTCATTATATTTTGAACATACGCATTGACTACTTCCGAGGTTTGGCCGTACTACGCTTCGAGAATCTCCTTCGCTTTTGAGTAGCCTTCGTCGGTAAATGGAAGTCCGTCTATATCTGCTCTTATCGATTCTTCCAAAAGCTCTTTTAAATACGCGAATTTCGTTAATGTTGGTAGATTCGCCAAATCAATTTCCGATCTGAATTTTCCCCAGAAAGGCAGCCACGACTCAAATTTCCCGTTAAACTTAGTTATAGGCAGTTTGGGTAGTTTAGCGCCCAATATTTTGTTGTTTACACTCGCTTGATTTTGCTCGTCTTTCAATTTTTGCTCAAACGTAGCCTTTTGTTGTAATAATTCTTGCTCGAATTTCATATTTTGTCGATGTGTCATAATACTTTTCGCTTCTTCTTCACGTAAATCGATTTCTTTAATTCTTTGAGTTAACTTTCGTATACAATCATCAGCTTTAGCCAGTTCTACTTCGAAATTTGTGCCCCATTCGGCGACTTGTTCTTCGGTTTCACCTTTCAAAAATTTCTTCTCTTCGATGTTCTCTTTCTGCTTAACTCATTAAGTTGCAGACTGTTGCAATAGTTCTACCCCACTAAGTTGCAAACAATATGGCCGATTTTAGGAATTAATGACTGCCTTCACAAAAATGGCTGTTACTCATTGCCAAATTAATAAAACCTCTTGAAATTTAGGAAACATTTAGATTAATATATAGGGTTTCATTTTTATTTAAATGATACGGGAAACATCCATTAAAAAATTATTTTCAAGACAGCACAATTTACACATCTCTAATTTTTAAAACTTTTTTTGGCTATTTTTGGGTAATGAATATTCAAAAGCCAGATTTCCCTAAAATTTTGATGTTTCAACAATTTTTGTTTTGAGTTTTATATTTAAAAATACTTCTAAAGCTTGGATTTTAAATATAAAAGATTTTGCATTGCTAAACAATCAAAAAAAGGTTTTTTTCAAGAGTTGATTTTTGACTTGCTTCAAATTATTTTGTGACTTCTGAGGCATAGTTTTTTGCACCAAAGAAAAAAATATTTATAGCCGAAATTGACCTATAAATATAGGTTGTCTAACACTGATTTTGAGCTCATTATATTAACAGAAAATTCATCATTGATATAATATAAATTTGAGTAAAATAAGTAAGCCTCTGAGGGAAAAATACTGAGATTTTACTAGCGTGCTATAACGCGGCTTTCAGAAGAACTGCATTTCAGGGCTTCTTTTTTCGGCAACTGCCTGGCAAAAGGCCAGTTTTTTGTTTTTTATATAAACTATTTATTTTTTTAAAACAAGATAAAAACCATAGAAGATTTTGTCTATAGATTAGACTAAATTTATTCATGCCATTCATTAAAACAAGCTCTTAATCTACAAAGGTTTACATTACATTGAGCACATTTATAAACGCTCTCAAAAGTTCTACCCGACGCACGCTTTCTTCCAACTTTCGCACACATCACACACGCTCGTTTTCGCTCTGAAGACTTCACTAAACTATGGCCTTTGACATTTTGACCCACAGGAGTTTCTTTTTTACGGCTAGTCGGACCGCTAGAAATTCTCTTGTAGCCGTTATAGGTCGAAATAAGTTGCCTTGCCAGGGCAAGCCGAAACT